CGCCCTCTCCGCTGGCGGAGCCAAGTGCGCCGATACCCTCCGCACCGCTATGGCCATGGGTGCCGACCGCGCATTCCACGTCGACGTCGGCGACAGCCCCGATGGTGGTCCCGAGCCCTTGACGATCGCCAAGATGCTGCAGGGTGTGGTCAAGTCTGAGAACATTAACCTGGTGCTGCTGGGTAAGCAGGCGATTGATGGCGACCAGGGCCAGACCGGTCAGATGCTGGCGGGTCTGTTGGGGTGGCCGCAGGCGACGCAGGCCAGCAAGGTCGATATCAAGGATGCGGATGGTACGGTGGAGGTGACGCACGAGGTGGATGGTGGTGTTGAGACGCTGCGGGCTAAGTTGCCCATGGTTATCACTACGGATTTGCGGTTGAATGAGCCCCGCTATGCTACGCTGCCGAACATTATGAAGGCTAAGAAGAAGCCTTTGGAGAAGAAGACGTTGGCAGACTTTGGTGTTGAGGATAAGAAGCGCTTGAAGACTCTGAAGGTTACTGGTGAGTTTATTCCTTGCCCTGTCATGTGCACCCCGGCGCTGTTGCATGTACTGACTATCCGTTCCAGAACCCCCCGCTCGCCAGGGCGGTGGCAAGGTCGAGGATGTTGACGGCTTGATCGGCAAGCTGAAGGAGCTGGGTGCTCTGTAGAGGTGGATTAGGGCAGATGATTGGATACAACAATAGGTATACCTTTGTGTGTGTGTATGTTAACGACTAGACTCGTGTCCAGTGTCAGCTGAACCGGCTGGACCTTATTTTTCATTTTATTTATCTCCCGCGGATCATAACCCTGCCGTGTTGTCTAGCTCCTGTGGATATACTATTTACTTATGCTTAACTCTATCTGTGGCTAGCTATACCTGCTACAGTGGGTCGACCGCACGAATCACTCATCGGGACAGGAGCAATTGCCTGATAGAGTAGGAGAGTTCACACGAACTATCCAGCTGTCTACTCCGTAGCTAGCTGAACTCGGGAGTTCATCGGCACCTACTACGTAGTGACCTGACAAGCTAAATCTCAATATGACACATGTCTAATAACTAGTTATCCCCCTGTCACGCTGACATATACCCACTGCACATGCACTAACAACAAGCTAGTCGATTATAATCCGTCCGGGGATCCCGATCCGCTAGATAGATAGATGGCAACCAGTAGTCGGTAGATAGTCCAGCGTGGGACCTAGGCACCGGGAACCAGCCGGTTCATCGAATCGGATCGAGATGAGGGTAGATGTATGTTTACTAGCATGGTCTGTACGGACTACGGAGTACTTAGGGGTGTGATGGTAATTGCATGCACTAGGATGGGTACTAGTTTGATGGGTTGGGTTGGGCTAGGCTAGATGGAGATGTTTTGTTGGATGTATATCATTTGTATAGATATACTATCTACTATCTATAATAGATAGTAGGTAGTGGGTGGAAGGGATGGGAATGGGGTGGAATGTAATTGGTAATAGGAATTAGTTGTGAATGGTAAATTGTTACTTACGTGAAGATATACAAATTCTCAGGTTGAATATATTTAATTACATTGTAGACTACATGGTAGTACTCACCAACATGTACTCTAGATACAGTAAGTAGTAGAGTTAACCTTCAACCCCAACTGCATACATTCCACGAGCCAGACAAGCACACAGACATTGAAGCAGACACACAGACACAGAGTGCCAGAGTGATGAACGACACTCCCGTTCGCATTCCAACTATGTACTACAGTGCATCCTCCGATCGATCTATCCCACCCGCCCTCTGTCCACTTTGTACCTACAGTAAGTTGGATACATCATATCAGGCACGGTTGATAGTGCGAGCAAACGAACACGAACACCAACTCGAATTCAAAAACTCAATTCATCCGCGGAAGCACGTATGTATCCATCCATTTGTTTATCTAACTTTCTGATTCTTAGCTTAGCGGTCTACAGAGTAGCTACAGTAGGTATGGACATGACTCGCTGCCTTTCGGCTATTGATCCACTAGGGTGTTATGACAGGAGTCTGGCCATCTACGGAGTACTAACATTGAATGGTTTGTTGGGGATGGTGTATATAGTACGCTAGCTATTTAGTTAGTTAGTCTAATGAAGTGTTACGATCGTCGAATTGACTGGCTGACTGGCTGGCCGGATGATTAGCGAGGGTGAGGGTGAGGGTGATGTTTCGGCCGAAGTTGCCTCGTCTCGTCTCGTCTAAGAATAGCCTGTCGTACAGTAGAGTAGAGGAGACAGGGATCCATCTGTGGTTCAGCTGAGCTACTGGATAGACTGGAGTGTTTCGCATTGCCAGGGCCAGGGTCAGGGATTGTGGAATGTTCTGTTCTATTTTATATTCTACTCTACTATACTATCTATATTTAAGTAACAAGTAGAGTGGGAGATATACACACCTACCATCCCACCCATCAACATACAAAAGCCTAGGTTTAGTAGTATAGAAGTAGAGATATACACATACCACTCCCTAATCACCCACTCCATACTCAGTATCCCTCTCAACCGCAATAACCGCATCAATCCACTTCCCTACTATCCTCGTGGGCCCCTACCATCCCCATCCCACCGATGGCATATGATATATCCAACAGTAAAGAAACACGGGAAGTGAAAATTTTTCTCGTTCTAAATGCGCACATGGTGTTCAGGGGGAAAAATGAGATGAGAGAGGTTCGTTCGTGAGTTCGTGAGTTCTTGCTCCCGTTCCTCCCGTTCCTTCGATGGCCCCCCTGGGCCCCGGGATGATGAAACTCTGTTTGAAGGGGGTTGATGGGGTGGGTAAGTTGGGTTTGGGTTGGACTGGTCAGGTTGGACTAACTGGATGGAGTAGTAGATAGGATTGAAGTAGGTAGGTAGGTAGGTGGGTAGGTCTGTGGTACCTTTTGTAACAAGGTACCTTTTTTTTTTCCTTTGCTTTGCTTTTCTTAACTGTGCTTCGCCCTTGGAACGGTGCGATTGAGGTGAGCCACTTGCGTCAATTGAGTATTATCATGCCCTGCTGTAGGTACCGGAGGGTAGGTAGGAAGGTAAGTAGGATGTGGTATAGTATCCCAAGCAACGCATCTTCCCTGTCGTTGGCGAGAAGTGGAACTAACCCGAGTAGACTAGACTAGGCTATTGGATCTCGATTGAGGGTGGAGAAAAAAAAGGGAGGAAATTGGACCTGTCAGGGACAGGATATTATTTATTTTTCTACTTTCGGAGTACGTAGTTACCCAGCTACAGTATCCGTATTTACTTCCATATTAAACCTGGTGACTTGTTTACTTACTACCTACTTAGTTACTGTACTTAATTCTGCAGCTAGGGTTGGAGGGGATAGTGGAGAAAAGACAACATGAAACTAATGCAGAGAATTTTCTTTGCCTGGGCGACGACGAGGAAATGAAGCGAGGGGATGGACCAAATCAATGCGAAGGGATACAATTTACCCATCCATGGATGGGGGCCAGACAGACAGAGCTAGCTAGCTACTGTAGATACTAGTTTAGGGTGTGGACTGGACTGGACTGGCTGGCTGGTATTGGGGCTGAAGGAAGAAGGTCAAAAAAATAAAGCAGCACCACTGCACGTAAGCAAAACAAAATCACGGTAGAAGAAGCGATTGGACCTGTCATATTCTTCGGGTGGGAAGTTGATACATCCCTTGTGAGGGTACGCAGGGATGAAGAGGGGAAGATTCATGCGGATCTAGTGGAAGTTAATCGGAAAATGAATTTTATTTTATTTTGATTTTTGATTTTTAATTTAAATTTTTTGAACAAGGAAATTGTGAGGGTGGGTTTACTTTGGCAGCAAGAAGAAAGAACTAAACTAGACTAGACATAGATTAGCTGGGGATCTGGTTCAGGGACTCTTGGCCCCATCGCCATCGCCATCGGGTACGTAGACGATGACGCTGTCATTTGGGGGTTGGAGGAGGGTTGAGGATTCTGTCCAGGATTCTTTCATTTCTTCCACGGGGGAGAAGCATTGCGAGAACAGCATTTGAAAGACAATGAATGATTATCAATTAGGATAGAAGAATGTAGAGCAAAGTATCTATTTCTACATCCGAACAGCCGACGGGCAAATTATAAATTGTAGAAAAAGTTAGGGTAGAAATCTAATCCGATCGGCTTATCGGGCGCGGCGAAGCGATGACGCTGATGCTGCCATGATGCCATGCATCCGGAACCAGACTGAAGGAATGGATGAAATGACTGCCTAATTAATATCCTTTTCTTGTACTCCCCTCCACTTCCTCGTCATCATTTTGCTGACTGACTTGACTTTCTTGTACACCTTTTTATTCATCCGGCCGTTCCATCTCCGGCCAGCCACTCTGCCCTCCCTCCCTCCCACTTACTTCCAGTCCAACCATGCCCTTCCGACCCAGCCGTGTGAGTATTTGTGCCTGGTTCGCATCCACGGCTCTGCACACTTCTTCTTCCATTTAGTCTTGTCTTCCCCTCTTACCTTTGCGAAAAAGAGGATCCATCTTTTCCCTTTCTGCTTCCTGCTTCATGCTTGCTTGCTTGCTTTTTCCTTCCTCCTTAACTGCATTAGCTCTCGGTCATACATCCAGCCTACATCTCTAGCACATCTGACCGACGGGTCCTACGGGTCGATCACCCCCTCCACTCTGGGGTTTACCTCTCATCTCCTACATAAACTGAACTGTCCCTGCTCCTACTTGTGGTGGACACGGAAATTAGCTGTTGTTTCATCTGGTCCCTTTTTCCCACCTTACTCTCGGATATATTGTCACTTTTTGATTTTCTTTTCTTTTCTTTTCTTTTCGTGGCCCTGGCGAGGCTCAGGCGGAGGTAAGCCGACCCCCGAATCCCATTTGCCCGTCCCATGGTTCCCCTCCTTCCTTTCCTCGTATGTCACCGGTTCTCCAGCTGCTCGCCACCCACTCAAGGCGAGGTCTGGAACGCACGGCTAGCACGGCGAAAAGCTCGAGGTCTTCTTACCTTTTAATAATATGGCCCTCTCCTACGTCTCCTGCCTCAATACATGCACTTTTCTTTCATTGCAGATCACTGACGTTCCGGATACTATATAGTTGGCTTACATTCTTACCACTCTCCGGACCCGCATTCCTCGGTTGTCGCCCCAACTTCTGTTGCGCCCGTTTGCTGCCTTTTATACATTCCCGGCCGCATTGGGACTTTATGTGAATTACTGTGGCCGTCTTCGTCTACTGCTGCCATTGCACCCGCAATTATAGACTGCCTCTTTACCCACTGCGCGGTCCTCAGGACTCCATCCTGTGTCACTCTGTTTGGTAGGCTTGGAGACCCCGCGGGATTCTGAGTCGCCACCATGCCTTCCACTCTGTGGGAGAAGACGAAAGGCACATCTAAGAAAGGATTCGATAAGGCATGGCATACCCTCGACAAGCTGGGCGATCCCGTCAACCGGCTATCCTACAAGGTCGGCGCAGAGGCCTTTTGGCCCATGACCCTTGATAAAGAAAGCGACAAAGCCGCGCGAATCCTCCGAAGTTTCTGCAAAGATGGTTTCTATTCCAACGAAGATGCCGAACGTCAAAGCACCGACAGCTCGGTCAGCAAAGAATCCGGCAAGATCGATCGCCCCAAGGGCAAGCAGCGGGTCTTGAAGAAGATCCCCGCTAGGGTTATACAGCGCGCCAAGGGTCTCGCTATCTTCACGACTATGCGCACAGGCCTCTGGGTCAGTGGCTCGGGTGGCAGTGGTGTGCTCCTGGCGCGGACCCCAGATACCAATGAATGGAGTCCGCCTTCCGGTATCATGCTTCATACGGCTGGTATTGGTTTCCTGGCGGGCGTGGATATCTATGACTGCGTGGTAGTCATCAATACATATGAGGCCTTGGAGGCTTTCAAGAAAGTGCGATGCACTTTGGGTGGAGAAGTCAGCGCTGCAGCCGGTCCGGTTGGGATGGGCGGCGTGCTTGATTCGGAAGTGCACAAGCGGCAGGCCCCGATTTGGACCTACATGAAGAGCCGTGGTTTGTATGCTGGCGTTGCCGTGGATGGTACCATCATTATCGAGCGTACCGATGAGAACGAGCGCTTCTATGGCGAGCGCATATCGGTTACTGACATTCTTGCGGGCAAGGCCAAACGGCCTCCTGCATCGATTCAAACGCTGCTGAACACCGTCAAAGCTGCCGAGGGCAACCCGGCTGTGGATGAGAACTTGCTGCCACCCGGAGAAACCCCTGGGGATGTTGAGATTGTGCCTGGACCGGGCTCGTTTGGCATTCCCGACCCCGAGGACCCCGATCCATTCGGTGTCAAGGCACTGGAGGCGGAGGGTCTTTTTATTCGCGAAGCTGGGACGAAATCCAGGCCGTCGCAGGAAGCGTTCGAGTTTAAACCCGGCCCGAACAGCCCGATATTTGCGACTTTCCGACGAAGCATCGACAGCTCACCACGCAATAGCTGGAGAGCAAGTGTACAGAGCTACGCCAGTATGGACCGAGGAACGCAAACTGATGATGGTCCTACGACTGCTCCGACTTCTATCAGCCGTGCCTCCTCCCGGAGCTACCGTGACGTGTCCGACCGCGCTGAGACCAGTCCTTGGGACAACGAGGAGGGACGCTGGGAGACTGTCATCCCCGAACACGACGAGTATCACGGCCAGGATGATGTCGAAGACGTGGATCTGGATGACGATGTGGAAATTCACGAAGTCAGCAGTGCCACTGTATCGAAGCGCGAGAGTGCTGCCCATTCGCCTGTCCCGGTCGAAGATTCCATCGCTCCTGTGGAGTTTAAGCGTCACTCGCCCACATTCACACGGGCACGCCTTGTGACGATCTCCAAGCGGATGCCCCCGGCCCTCCCACCCCGAAACCCCCAGCGGACGCCCGCTCCTGTTTCGACTTCGACTCCTAGCTCGCCTACGGTAAACCCCTACGCACACAGCCGCCGGCGTTCCGTGGCGTCTAGCCCGGGACACGCCACGTACGGCTTCACAGAGATGCCTCTGTACCACAAGAGCGACTCGGAGAGTGACCTGTCCTCTACCGGTGCTCCCGAGTCATCCAACAAGCCGTCACCAGACCGTGAAGAGTTCCACTCGGTATCCAGTCTGCACGATTCGGACGTGGCGTCCGAGACCGAGGCTAATGAGGCCAAGGAGACTGAGACCGAGAAAACCCACGAGGCATCATCCGATGCGAGCACTCCTACATACGTTCACGAGTCTGATCTCTCCCCATGGGGGAAGTCTGACACGGACCTGGCACCCACCAAGACCATCACTTCTGATGACCATGTCAAAGTGGAGTCTACGGTGCAGCCCCAGACTGCGTGAGTGCTAGAGCACATATCGCCATTCCTTGTATATATTCCTTCTGGCATATTGTTATTGGGATTCATCCCGTTGCATATTGCATGTTGATGTTGATTCCCACTGTGTTTCGGCTGTTTGTATCGCGTTACCAGCTCTTGTTGTTATGTTTTATGTCATACTGTAATGGTAGTCTTAGCGTGCGTGGTGTTTGGTTTCAAATTGGGCATGGATACCTGGGCGTCTCGGGATGGATACTGGGACGTGGTAAGATGCTTGGAAGCGATTTGAGTTTGACAATATATCCCTATGTTCTCTTCTCCAGACTCTTCTATTGTAAAGCGACAGCATTGTGTAGACTGCATTACCTTGGTCGGAACTGCAAAACCTGATCTGTATATGACCGATCACCATCGAGCCACCTACATCATGGCGCGCTCTGAACCAATACAGTAATGTCGATCAATCCCGCTTGAACCAAGGCTGATTTCCTGCTGAAGTGTATCACAAAGTGAAACGTTTATACTTTGTAGATAGCCTCGGCACTTGCCTGCCATTTACCCCATACATACCTACGGGAGAGTGGAGTGGAGCAAGTGCACGGCCACTCGATCAACTTAGTGAGACAGTGAGACACTGACAACCGGCGATCCGCCGGCTTATCGGCGATGGCGTTATCAGACCCCTAGCAGTAGACTACCTACTTCACTAGTAGGTTGCACAGTTAACTACTAGTATTTATACTACTTCCTTCGCTCGAATCTCTATGACACTTTTATTTTTTCCCTCTCTTTTGTTTCCCCTGTGCAATTGATGAACTCTCCATGAGAGTTCTGCACGGATCGAAATATATACTACTTAGACGATCACCATGATGCCCTCCCTCGGCATCATCACTATCATCTCCACTATCACCACCCTAATCGCAGGACAATCATATTTCCCTCCCACACCGGAGGACCTCACCATCATCGAGTCCGAAATCTTCCCGGGGGCAAAAATCTTCTATAAACAGGTTGAGCTACACCCTACCCCATTTAAATCCCAAATTCAATTCCATCCTACTAATGATACTTACTGTATGACCAGCCCGAAGGAATCTGCACCAACACCAATACCACCAGCTACTCCGGCTACATCCACCTACCCCCGCACACCCTAACCAACCTCTCTATCCCAGGCATCAGCATCACCCAACCATATCCTATCAATACCTTCTTTTGGTACTTTCCCGCCCGCCACCATAATGGCTCGTCGCCACTCACTATCTGGATGAACGGCGGACCCGGCGGATCCTCCATGATCGGGCTGTTCCAAGAGAATGGACCGTGCACGGTGAACCCGGACTCGAATTCCACGAGCGACAATCCCTGGTCGTGGAATGAGTATGTTGATATGTTGTATGTGGAGCAGCCGGTCCAGACGGGGTTTAGTTATGATGTGTTGAGGAATGGGACGGTGGATTTGGTGAGTGGGGAGATTGATGTGGGTGTTGATGTGGGAGAGGGTGGGGTGAGGCAGAATGCGACGTTCCTGGTAGGGACTCTGCCGAGTCAGGATGTGGGTGGGACGGTGAATGGGACGGTGAATGGGGGGAGGGCGTTGTGGGTTGCGTTGCAGGTTTGGTTGGGGGAGTTTGCTGAGTATCCTGCTGCTGCTGCTGGTGAGGGTGATGACAGGGTGAGTATATGGACGGAGTCGTATGGAGGACGGTATGGGCCTGCGTATACGGCGCTGTTTCAGGAGATGAATGAGCGGATTGAGAGTGGGGAGGTAAGCATCGGCAAGAAAATCCATTTGGATACGTTGGGGATTATCAATGGGTGTGTGGATTTACTCGTCCAGGTCCCGTCGTTCCCGGAGATGGCGTATAATAATACGTATGGGATTGAGGGGATTAATCGCACGCTTTACGACAGGGCTATGGATAATTGGAGCAAGCCGGGTGGGTGCCGGGATATGATTGTGGAGTGTCGCGATGCGGGCGAGCTTGGGGATCCTCTCATGTATGGGGATAATGAGACGGTGAATGGTATCTGCGCGGAGGCGTCGGAGTATTGTTCGAGGGAGATCAAGAGTCTGTATACGGATACCTCTGGACGGGGTTACTACGATATAGGGCATTTCACGCCGGATGCGGCTCTCGTGCCCTACTTCGTCGGATTCTTGAATCGCCCGTGGGTGCAAAAGGCGCTCGGGGTCCCGGTGAACTATACCATGTCGTCAGAGGCAGTGGGGGACAGCTTCGACTCGACAGGTGATTACCCTCGCAATGATCCCCGCGGGATGATCGGGGATATTGGGTACTTGCTTGACTCTGGTGTCAAGGTGGCTATGGTGTATGGAGACCGGGACTATGCCTGTCCGTGGCGCGGCGGGGAAGATGTCAGTCTGCTGGTGGAGTATGCTGAAGCAGAGAAGTTCCGTGCTGCTGGGTATGCAGAGGTGCAGACGAAATCATCCTATGTTGGGGGATTGGTCAGGCAGTATGGGAACTTCTCGTTCACCCGCGTCTTCCAGGCAGGCCATGAGGTGCCGTTTTATCAGCCCGAGACGGCGTATGAGATCTTTAATCGGGCTCAGTTTAATTGGGATATTGCGACGGGAGGAATCTCCTTGGTGGAGAACCAGGACTATGGGACGGAGGGACCGTCATCGACGTGGCATATCAAGAATGAGGTGCCGGAGAGCCCTGAACCGACGTGCTATTTGTTGGCCATGGGTTCGACTTGTACGGATGAGCAGAAGGAACGGGTGCTGAGTGGGGAGGCAGTGGTGAAGGATTGGGTTGTTGTGGATGATGTTGAAGTTCAGGGATCGTTCAGTGGAGATGGTGATCAGTTGGCACAGGTGCCGTTGGGATACTGATGTTAAGTGCAATGTTGATAGTGTTGTGGTTGGTTGTGATACAGATGGTATACACTGCATAAAGACATAGCTGACTAAGTTTCATAAGTATATATGAAGCTAGCTCGATCTGGCAAGTGGCCGGCTGACTGCCCAAAATGGAAGACTGAAGCCATCTCAACTCATTTCCATCAGTCCATCTCAATATCTCCATCTGGCTGTCAAACTCCTATATCCACCGGCTGGACCCTTCTAGTCTTACCTCCACTGCTATCACCCGAACAATCCGTATGGCATCACGGGTTGACCCCTCCCTCGCGGCCATCGAACCTTCTCGAACCTTCTATTGGTCGACCGCTGCGGTCAACGTCACACGTCACCGCAGGCTCACCTGAAAGCCGCCGGCGCTGCACTATACATCAGCCCTCGTCCTCACACCTGGCTTCTCCGCTAATCCTTCAGATACATCATTCACTGTGCCTTATGTCTTGAAATCACCCCTATATAACCTACATTAACACCCGTCGATATACTCTGATCGGATCGCGGATCGCTGAATCTTCTACGTCATTCGAGACTCTGCTCCCCTCCCCTCGATTCCCCCATCTCACCCCGTGGTGTGACCCCCTCGTGGTGTGCTTATATGGTGTCTGGACTCGCCAATTAGAGCCGTGCATCACATTTCTACCACGTCTGTCGATTTCGTGATTCCCGTTCCTTTGACCTATCTTCTGGCCCTCGCCAATCGACTCCACAATGGTTGCAGAAACGAAACTCTACGATGCTCTCTCGATCAGGCCCGATGCCTCGCAGGACGAGATTAAGAAAGCTTACCGAAAGGCGGCATTGAAGTACCACCCCGACAAGAACAAGGATAACCCGACCGCTTCGGAAAAGTTCAAAGGTATGTTCTGACTCTATTTACCCCGCCCCAGCCTCCCATTTTAGGCCAATGGTGCTAATTCTCAACAGAGGTGTCCCAGGCATACGAGGTTCTTTCCGACCCTGAAAAACGAAAAGTCTATGACCAATTCGGCCTTGAATATCTTCTTCGTGGCGGTCCCCCGCCGTCCAGCGGCGGCGGTGGTGGTGCTGACGGCCCCAACCCCTTCGAAGGTGGCATGCCCGGCGGCTTCTCGTTCGGCGGCATGCCTGGCGGCGGCGGTGGCGGTACCCGGACATTCCACTTCTCGACTGGTCCCGGCGGCGGCGGCAGCGGGTTCCGGTTCAGCAATGCAGACGATATCTTCCGGAACTTTGCCAAAGGCAGCATGGGCGGTATGGGTGGTGGTATGGGCGGCGGTATGGATGATGACGATATCTTCTCGATGCTGGGAGGTGGGCTCGGCGGCGGTCGGAACTTCCGGAATAGTCGCGGGCCTAGCGGATTCAAGCAATCGTCGCAGCGCGCGCCTACGCCCGAGCCTACAGTCATGGAGAAGGAGCTGCCGCTGACGCTGGAGGAGCTGATGCGCGGTACGACCAAGAAGGTGTCTGTGAAGAGCAAGACGTTTGATGCGAGCGGCAAGCGTACTGTCCAGGATGTGACGCTGGAAGCGAACATCAAGCCGGGTCTGCGGACCGGCTCGAAGATCAAGTACCGGGGAGTAGGCGATCAGGAGGAGGGTGGTCGGCAGGACGTACATCTGATTGTGACTGAGGTAGGCATCCCCACCCTAAACTCATTATACCTTAGTCAATACTAACAATCAGCAGAAAGAACACCCCAACTTCAAACGCCAAGGCGACAATCTCGTCACAACAGTCGAGCTCAGTCTGAAAGAAGCGCTGACCGGCTGGGAGCGCATCGTGCGCACAATTGACGGCAAATCTATCCGAGTATCCAAGCCCGGCCCGACACAGCCCGGACACGAAGAACGATTCCCAGGTCTGGGCATGACGATTTCGAAGAAGCCCAGCGAGCGCGGCGATCTGGTGGTTCGGGTGAATGTGCGGTTCCCAGCTAGCCTGAGCGCGTCGCAGAAGGACATTCTCAAGGATGTTCTTCCGTGATTCCTTTTTCTCTCTCTCTCTCTCTGATACTCCTATTGTCTCTGTTTATTTCTATTCCCAATTCGCTGGTCTGTTAGCATTATGGCGTTGGGCGTGCGGCTGGTTCCGTGATGTGATGAGTGATGATGATGAAGCAGTAGTAGCTTGGAATAAAAGCTTATATACCTGTATGAGTGTGATAAATTGTTAATGTATGCTAGTATTCAGATACTACATAAACGGAAATTCAGATAATCAATTACTTTAGTAG